TGTCTCTGCCGCCTTCAATTCTTTCTCCATTCTATCTACCACCTCCAAGCGCCTTGTCCTCTCTTGCGCAAGGTGCAGCTTCCACTCCTTCCAACTCTACTCTTACCGCCTCCCTTTCAGCCTGGGGAACCATTAACTCTTCCCACCAAGGGATCCCTCTCTTCTTCCAACTCTACTCTTACCAACTCCCTTTCAGCCTGGGGAACCATTAACTCTTCCCACCAAGGGATCCCTCTCTTCTTCCAACTCTACTCTTACCGCCTCCCTTTCAGCCTGGGGAACCATTAACTCTTCCCACCAAGGGATCCCTCTCTTCTTCCGACTCTACGCTTACCGCCTCCCTTTCAGCCTGGGAACCATTAACTCTTCCCACCAAGGGATCCCTCGCTACTTTGTCTGCTCCCAGGGATAAATTAGCCACCCATTCTCGTACTACCTTCTCAACCACTTCTAGTGGAGCCATACTGGAACTCCCTTCCCTCCTCCTCCACAACAGGGCCTCTTTGTCTTCTGCGATTTCTTCTTCTTCTTCTTCTTCTTCTTTTGTGACTTCTTCTTCTTCTTCTTTTGCGACTTCTTCTGCGACTTCTTCTTCTTCTGCTGCTGCTGCTGCTTCTGCTTCTGCCTCCACAACAGCCAACTTCGCCTCTTGCTCCCTCCTTTTTTTCATCTCCTCTTCCATCTGCTTCTTCTTGGCTGCTGCTTCTTCCAACTGGGCGAATTTCTTGGCATGACAGATCAGCTCCTTTTCCATCTTCGCCCTCTTTTCGCGGAAAATTGGAGCAGCTCTCTCCTCCTGTGCCTTACTATACGGGGTTGTGCTAGTTCCGGTCTTGGTGGTCACAATGTTGATAGGGGCACAATCACTGGCGATTCCATTCCTCGAAACCTATACCTCACCTCTAGAATTCAACTTCTACAGGACTACAAAGATCTCTCCTCCGCTTTAACCAGGTTACCACAACCTTCGGATGCTTTCGCAACCACAGTCACCAATCTTTCCACAGTCATCGGATGCCTCCACAACCATAATCACCAATCCCACCTGGCTTCAGCATCAGATTGACCCTCTGCCAACTTTGCGATTCTAGCCTAGGCTACTGCTAGTCTGTCACTACAGGACTATTGGTTCATCAGAAGGCATTTTAAGGAGATTCCCCATAACTCTTCAGGAATTCTTTTATGTCCCAATCAGGACGGCGAACATAGCCAAAGTCCTCTCAAAACTTGAACATACTTGACACCCGCTCTGCAGCGAGTTCACGTATAGTGTACCACCCAGACCAACCTGCTGGTCTGTACCGATCCTTGGGGTGTTTCCCAATTCGTCTGGCGTCGGATACACCTCACCCCTACTAAGTCCCGTGCAAACACTGGCTCACAGCCTTTATCAAAACACATGCATGGAACCTATCGACCTGGATAGGAGTGACTCGATGGAGAAGGAGATGACAGGGTCTCGGCAAGTACCAAGGTGAGTGTGCAACATGCATCCGGGACAAGGGCTAGGGCTTGAAGGGATTATACCACTCCTCGCTCCGCACTCCAGCTTGGTCAACGGCACCGGTTAACGCCCCCTCGTCAACGCCGCTCAATCCCCTGTCAACGCCAATCATCGGTTGGTCACGCTTATTGTTGAATTCTTCGACGTCCGATTATGGTGGCTGCTTCCCCTTCGTCAACCTCTCCTTCCTCTCTCCGAGCTTGGCTATGGCCGACTTCTCCTTCTTTCTCCCCGGCTATGGCTCTCCTCACCTTCTCCTTCGTCACTTCCTCTCTCTCTCTCTCTCTCTCTCTCTCAGCTGGCAGCTATGGCTGTCGTCCGCTTTGGTGGACCGTCTCTTTCAAGCGTCCCTCTTTCTCTCGCATTTGCGTCGGTCTTCTTCTTTATCGCGGCGGAGCGCCGATCAGCACAATAGCACGGACAATGGGAACCTGCTCTGATACCAGTGCAATCAGACGTCTCAATTTCACTCGCAACATGCATCCATGTACGTGTCGATGGCCACACAACTTCGTCAACGCAGAATCAGTAACAAACTTGCGATGGCGCACTGCGCAGTCACAAAAAACTCAAAAATATGGCCTTAGGCCAGGAACTCAGCTTAAGTCAACTACTGTCTTCCCCCAAACACAACGCACCCTTATTTTGGCTGTATCTGGCCGGAAATATAGCTTGTATACATTCATTTTTAGGGTGCGTTATGTTCGGGGGAAGACGGTATTCACATCTAGTGGCTATGGCCGCTGACCGCTGGTCTCAATTCCCCCTTCTTCTATGTCTCCCCCATTGGACACTCTCACGCAACTCATGCACATGCACACATGCATAGGATCTACCCTGAATGTCCACCCACCCACACACACACACACACACTACACTCTATCTGTTGACGTCATCAACTGGGCAGCTATGGCCGCTGTCGTCTTCCTCCTCCACTAGCGACTATGGCCACTCACCCTCTTCTTCGTCGTGCACCTGCAGACCTCCAACGCACAAGTGGCATAAGCAGTGCTTCCGCATAGCTTTGCGGCCAAATGAATGAATGGCTTGGCAGTGGTCTGGCCTGCCTCCGGTCCCAGGCCCAAGGAGTAGTGTTACATGCTGCTCCTGCACACGAGGGCCATTTTCCAGGCCCTGCGTTGTTCAGGCTGGAAGCCTGAATTTCAGGCTCAAGGCCTGGAAATAAGGGCCTGCAAACCCCAGGACGGTTCAGCCCAAAAGTCAGACATCCGGGGCCCACAGGACCTGCATCGTTTTAGCCAAAAAAAGGCCTGAGCCTTTTCAGCCTGAAACTGAGGGCTATTCCCGGGCCTGGAGACCCCATAACGGTTCAGCTCAAAAGCCTGACATCCGGGGCCCACAGGCCCTGCATCGTTTCAGCCTAAAAAAGGCCTGAGCCTTTTCAGCCTGAAACTGAGGGCTATTTTCAGGCCTACTGGCCCCATGACGGTTCAACCCAAAAGCCTGACATCCGGGGCCCACAGGCCCTGCATCGTCTCAGCCTAAAAAAAGGCCTGAGCCTTTTTAGCCTGAAACTGAGGGCTATTCTCGGGCCCTCGTCAAACCGACCTGCCCTGAAACAAGCACAGTTCGGCATGGGCAGGAGTGACCTCCCCGGAAGCTTCCTCAGGGGCTAGCACGTCCAGGCATTGGCAGGAGTGAACTGCCCTGAAGCTTCCTCAGGGGCTAGCACGTGCAGGCATTGGCAAGAGCAGCCTCCTGGACGGGCCAGCACTATATAAGATTGGCCCGCCCTACAGGTTGCGACAGGCGAGAGGAGACTGCCCAGGCACTCGATGTGCGCTTCTGCAGGAGGTAGTAGTCTTCAGGATTCGGCTGCAATAGTAGAGTAGCGTTAGCAGTAGTCTTCAGCGCTGGGCGCTAGCAGCAGTAGGCTAGAGTAGTGGAGAGAGGAGGCTGGCGGAGGCCAGGGATACTTACCTGTGGCGCCATAGCTCCAGCTTCGTCTTCAAGGTACCTTCAGCAGGACGCCACCTTCAGGGTGACTTACCTGTGGCGCCATAGCTCCAGCTCGTCATCGAGGTACCTGCAGCACAGCGTCACCATCACAGGTTAGTACCTGGCTCCGAAGAGAGAGAGAGAGAGAGTTCTTCTTCTTCCTCTTCTCAGTCCACCATCTCCCTCCCTATCCTCTCACTGTCTGACTTCACTGCTTCGGCAGACTACAAGAGTGAGAGTGGTTACTTGCAGAGGTTACAGGCGGGGRTTGTCACGGGCATTGGGCCCAGGATCTGGTTCGACATTTTTGGGCAGACATTGGTTGGACTTCGGCCAAGGACTATTTTGAACTCCGCTATTGCGATCTTAGTCTTCTCCCTTGCCTCCATCTTCGTCCTTCCCTCCCCCTCCATCTCTCGTCCGTGGTATCTCCCCATGTGTGTATGCAGGAGGGACCTTCGTCTATGCATGCGGTCCCTCCTCTCCCTCTCACATGTGTGATGTATGATGGGATGTCGTAACAGTCCAGGTCAGGTCAGGACTTAYCTCAAAGTCTTCCRMTGTGCTATCAAATGCCATTTTTCATGTATCGGGATGTACATTGTCTGTTGATGTTTCACTAACAGTACATTGTCCATTCAGTCCTTTTCATCACATTGCGGATCCTTGGCTGAATACATAGCCCAACTTGGCATGTAACAAGTAGACAGCCCCACCTGGTACTTGCTGACTGGACAAGATGGACTGGGACTTTAGACTGGGACTGCTGACTAGGCTAGGACTGACTCTACCTTGCTGACTGAGCTACGGCAACTGACCCTTAGGACTAACCGACAAGACCGACCCTAAGACTGCTTAAACTAAGGGCTACCATGGGACCCAACTATACACACACGAAACCTAAACGCACGTGTCTGGGGACAGGTCACGGGTTCAAGGCACACAGGGTCAACGGGTAGGTGTACAGGGGTTCAGGGATAGGTCTAGGGATCAAGCCCCGGGATCTGCAATTGTCCTGCCAACTGGGTGAAATCCTTTCAGCCAGAACATGCCCAGATACACAACCACTTTGCTTTTGTCTTTTGTGCATGAGGAGAGCCGTGGAGCTAGGCCCATATGCACGTCGTTTCACTTTTCCTGTTTCTGTTTTTGTCGTTTACTGCCACCACTGCCACGCTGTGGGTTCTTTAGGGGCTGGCTCCACCACTGGCGAAATGTGCTCATTGATAATAAGTCTACAGCTAAAACATGGGAAGATGCAGCTGGCAGATACCACAAAAACTGAAAAAAGCCAAAAGACGTGCAGTAGCTAAAACATGGGAAGATGCAGCTGGCAGATACCACAAAAACTGAAAAAAGCCAAAAGACGTGCAGTGTGTTGGCAAGAATAAAAAAGGAAAAAAGTTCAAAAAACGAAATGCTGTGTCACAAAAATATGGCGGCGCATCTTCCCATTTTTGAGGGGATGATTCATACAAAACAGAAAAGCGAAAAAACAAACTCTGTACAGTGCCGTGGCAGCAACATTATCAAGCCTGAGGGCAAAGCCTCCCGCCACTATGTACTTGTATTCAGACATGTGGCCGCGGATTCGCAAGCCCTCCAGCCCATGCAGCCCACACATCACCTAGAGTGTAAGCCTGGCCTCGCAGGAGCGCCATGTGAGACCCGGCTTACACTTCGATACGAGTATAGAAGAGAAAAAACGAAAATTGTCATCAATGTTCTAAAGAGAACTTTAGTTAACCAGAAAGCTGCAGAGGCCACTGGAGATGGACTAGATACATTAAGAATTCACGACACCTTTTAAAGATTTCGTAAATGGCTGGACTTCGCTTCGACCAAAGTCGTGAATGAATAACAGGACACGACAAGACAACCAAGCCATCAAATCCTCCCCGGGTTCTTTCCCGCTTCTCTTCCCTCCACCACCGCTTCGCGCCATCAAATCCTCCCCTCTCTAACCTACTTCTGGTGCCGCCTACTTCTTCTCCCACCGCCTTCACTTCTCAACTACTTCCTCATCGCCACACTTCAGTGCACCTGACACTGATCCTACAGATGGCCTTTGTGATACCGATTTCTTTTTGGAAAAGGGGTAGCTCCTGTTATTATCGTGTCCATCTCCTTCTTCAGAAGTCGAACTCACAATCGGTTCAACGACAGGTAAATTGGTGTAGAATTCAGCCACATTGGAAGGATGAGATACTCCTCAAACATGGCCCCAGGACCCCTTTTTTCACTCTTAAGGCGGCTGCAATCCAACTGAAAGTTCCAAAAGCTGTTTTATACAGCAATTACAAAACAGACCATAGACTTTTTTCGGAAAAAATGAGGTCTGATATGCTCTGAAATCTAAGTTCCAAAAGTTGTTTCATACAGCAATTACAAAACAGACCATAGACTTTTTTCGGGGAAAATGAGGTCTGATATGCTCTGAAATCTGAGTCATGTAGGTGACGATCAAGATACACACATCTAGATTTGGATCCGCACAACGTACGTCCTATCAGAAGTTCAGACCGGTAATAATCTACGAGCAGCGGAGAAAGAGAGTCGCACCAACCTTGCGCAGCTTGTCCATCACTCCATGTGCAAGAAATGTCTCTATGCCCCTTTCATCAACTGTGACAGCTGCAAGACTCGCCAGGGTGATTCCAGTGCAGAATGGATGGCCAGGATTGCTGCAAAATAAATTACGACATGCGAGGTCAGAGAATGAATCGGAAACGCCCGAAACATCCACAGGGCTATTTACTGATGCAGACCATAGGGAGACTGAGAGTGTGAAGTTTCTTACCTCCCCATCGACTCTTCCCTTAACCAGAAAAACAAGCATAATACAAACACATTATCAGCACAGCACACAGGACAACCAAAAAGGGAAAGGTCAAGATCATCACTTAACCAACCTAAATTGCAGATCACCTCATAAGAAATGAACTCCAGTTCCATTACCACCGCAAACCTGCAACTGGACTCGTAATTGCATCCATCATTCAGGACTGCAATACACTTGCAGTGGCACAACTGGAGTTATAATTTCAGATCAATGTCGACCTTTGGATTCTGGTCAGGATCAGTTTATTACATCCTTCAAACCTGCCCGACGCACACAACAGCCAAGACACACTCCTGGAATTTGTACAGCAGGGATCCCAACTACTCATCCTGCGTCAGCCAGAACTGAAAATACAGCACCTGCTCTCATCGACCAAAGGCGGGTGCAAACCACACGCGATCAAGGAGATACCAGGCTGTGTTAATGACACAATTTAACAGCCTGAATCCTTCCTTCCAGAATCGAGGAATGACTGCTGTCACGGACACATGTCCTGCTCAATTTCCCCCACACCTGAACTATTCAAATTTCAAACTACTGATGGCGGCCAATGCATTGCATTTCTGACAAGAACTTCTTAACAAGCAAAAACATTTTTATTTTTATTTATTTTACTTCGAAATTAGCCAGGATCATAACAGCACTGGAATTTAGGCCAGAAAACCCTTGCCCCAAGCGTCCAAGTGCCATTCTTTCTTTTTTTTTTTAATAGTAAAATACAAATCTTTCCTTTACCAAACACATTGATTTTTATTTATTTATTCCCTGTCAAATTTATTTATTCCCTGTCAGACTACATGTTATTCTTGAACAAATACAAAAACTGGATTAACTAAAGTCAAATAACAATAAAAGAATGAACCTTCCACCTGCTCCTAGGTTGCAATTGGGCATCGGAAAAACCCTAAACCCTTAACCCTACTACCTACTTGTCTTACCCAGCCAACCTTCCCCTTCCTCCCCCCTACTCTGCTATGTTAACCTTTGACCTGCCTCCGTTCCCCTTTATCTATATGAGCTGAAGTTTTACCCCTACGAGCCTAGCACACTAGTCTTGCCCCCGTTGACCCGTTGATCCTTAATCTCGAACCAATGGAAGGCTAATCTGTATCCTTCTATTGTTGCTATCTTTCCTTTTACCAACGTTATCTTGTGGAAAGTCTTAAATATCTCCCGGGCTTTCACCGGGTTTAGCTGAGCTTGCCGTCTTGTTATTTGCCATTGGGCCATGATATCCGTCTCCAGAAGGTTGTGCAGAACTTACTTAGCCTCCAGTCTGTGCATTTGTCCCTTTCCTATCGTCAGATGGCATCTCCTCTTCCATATGATCCACAAAGCATATTGTCTCAGTAATTGGAACCCCCTTCTCTGTCCCGGTTGCCATGTCTTCGGAGGCTCCATGCCGGTGAGGAGGATCCTCCTGTCCTCCGGAAAGGACTCGTCTGAGATCTTTCCCCACAGTTCCCTGGCTGCTTCCCACACATATGCCGCCTCTGGGCAATATAGCAGACAATGAAGCAAAGATTCCATTCCTTCCGCCGTGCAAAGGGTGACACTTGTGATTGACCTGGTCCTCTGATGGACTACGGCGCTCATACAGCCAGGCATTGACTGGGAGCGCCACATGGAAAATCAGCCATTGCAAGCTTTTGACCCTGCCTAACCTTATGCTACCAGGGCCGTAGCCGGAGCATAAATCGTATAGTTGTCCGTCTCCACGACTCTGACCTTCCGCACTTCACTTTTTAAGATAGAAATCGGGGTAGTAGATGTCTTATCTAACCGACTAGTGGTGGTCCATGCTTCCTCTATTGAGAACATATCAGCCAATAACCATGCATCCCTCGGGCCCGTCTTACCCCTTATCCTGAAGGCTTGTAACCACGTGGCCCAATCTCCCTTCTCCCATTGCGGTCCCTTCTCTAGCAGATTTACCCATTCTGATGGGATAGAGATGAGGACATCATTCAGGTTTTCGAGCAACCTATGGGTGCCCTTCATATCGTACCGAAGGTCTCGTGCTGTCTTCCACTGCTGTTTCTCATCTGACCATAAATGTCTGACCTGGCATACTCCATGTTCCACCCACGTTCCCCATTTCGAGTCCCGTGCTGTTAGGGTACGCGGTTTCCCCTGCTCATCCTTTATCAAAGGGTTGCAGAATAGCGGTTGCCGAAGCACCTCCTCCCTGTTGCTTGATTCCCTGACCCTAGCTGGGAAAATGTCTCCCTAGAGTTTGAGGAGTTGAGCCCAATATGAACCCCCCCTCCCTTCAGCTACCCCGGGTATCCCTTCTTCCTTCCTACGTTTCCCTGCCCAGCCCTTACTCATTACCCAGAACAGCCCTGACATGGTGGATGGTGTTTTGTATTTGGCCAGTCATCTGATGTGTTCTAAGGCCAGAGGAGCCCATGGAAGCTGTGGATGAGTTATAAGCTTCGAAACCCACTTCGTTTGCAGCGCCTTGATCTGCTGCTTCGGGTCAAGTATGCCCAGACCTCCCTGCTCCTTCTGCTTGATGACGTGCTTCCAAGCGACCTTCGATATAACATTCTGCTTGCTTGCATTTGCTGTCCATAGGAAGGCTGCTGATCTTCTTCTTAATTCTCTAATGGACTGGTCCGGTCGTGTCCAAATCATGCCTACGTACCACAACATCGAAAAGATGGAAGCATTTAAAATTAACGCTCTTCCAAACAGAGAGGTGTAGATTGTTGCCCAAACACTTAGCTTTGTGATATTTTTTGCTAAAATCTCTGAAGCTATTGAATGATGAGGACCCGTATCTGTTAGCCTAATTCCCAAATAACGCAGTGGTTCCTCTACTGTTTGCCACTGCATTCCATCTGGGGTGATGTCCGGTCTCTGAACCTCTCCCTCCCCGCTGTCAAGCGTAGGATGAAGGGATCTTTTCTGAGAAATGATGCCACCGCCTCCATTATGAACAAAAAGATGGGTGCTGCTAAGGGGTCTCCCTGTCGGACCGATCTCGACATCCTGTAGCTCTGCGACAAGTGACCATTCACCTGAACTTGCCCGTGTGCATCATTGTATAGGACACGTCTGCATTTCCTGAAGTTAGGTCCGACCCCCATCCTTTCCATACACTGTTGTAGGAAACTCCAGTTCACTTGGTCGTACGCCTTCTCGAAGTCGAAGAACAGTATTGCCGCATTGATTCTCTTATTTCTTTTAATAACTCCCATTTCAATCAGGATGCAGGACGAGCTGCCACAAGGAGAGACAATAAAGATATGAGACAAAGAAGAAGAAGAAAAGTAGGAAGGCTCAACCCTGAGGGGATAGGCTCAACCCATAAGCCTTAGTGTAGTTGGCTTGAGATCTATATATAAAGAGTGCAGCATTCCAGCATAGGTAGATAGGTAGTGGGAGGCATATTGGGAGAAGAATATAGATTAGTTTATTAAAAAAAAAGAAAAAAGAGAAAAAAAGAAAAGCAGGAGGAGAAGGAGATGGGAGGAGGAAGAACGAGGGGGAGAAGCAGTCGAGGCAGAAGGAGAAGATTCAGTCATGATGCAAAACCCCCACAAGGAAAGAGGGAAAAGAGATGTGACATTCGAGGAGCAGGAGGAGGAGGAGGAGGGAGGGAGGAGGGAGGAGGAGAAAAACGAAGAAGCAAAGGATGAGTAGAATCAACACAGTAACTAATCCCCCCCCAATCTCAGCACCTTCATCACCTTTTGCACATCTCCTCCTCTTGGTTGCATTATTCTTAAAAAAGAACAATGAAAAGTTGTCATGAACCCCCTAGCAGCTGTTCTTGGAAGTACTCCCTTCGTCTCTATTACTCCAAACCTTCCTCACTGGTAGCATTACCATCCAGCGAGTCATCACCACCACCTACCCATGATGTGCACAAGACAACACGAAAGAATTTTCCCCTCCCCCCTGAAAGAACATCAACGCCAAACTCCTGGGTGAAGTCCAAGGGACCCTAAGGGGTCTTCTTAATGTACCACCATACATGGGAGTGAAGACGGAACTCCAGTCTTCATTGCAGTTTGCCTCCTCTTACGCAACTGAAGTCCTCCCCTTCTTCCACATGTGCAGCGGTGACCATAACCCTGAGCACCATAGTCAGGCCCAGCTCCTCCTCCCTCCAACTCGACCGCCATAGGCATATGGTCTTCATCTCCAACTTCCAGCTACTTCTCCCTCACATGCCTACTCTGCTACACGACCCCCTGACGGAGAAGCATCGACCCAACTCGGGCATACAGTGACCTGGACGGCTAACCAGTTTCTGCTTCAGCTGAAAAGGGGGAAAAAAAATAAAAATGGTAGATCCAGCGACGAAGCTTTCTACCCCATAGCTTTTAGGCCTGACTGCCCAGCTTCCAGGACGCTCGTACCCGAATAGGCAAGAATGTCACCAGTCCTTCCCCACAAACAATCTACCCGGGCTGATATTGATTCAGATGCTACCATCACTCTACCCACTTACCCTAATGGACCACACAGCCTCTCAAATTGCTAAAAAGTTCCATCTGCACTTCTGTCGAATTGCCTGTCCATCCCACTTTACCCACCATTCGTCAACTCATCACTGCATTTTCCCTTATTTTGTGACATACCTTCTAACAGCATGACCACACAGTTAGACATGTCAACCGACACAATCTAGCCTATCTACGTTCTTGCAACTGGGTCACTCTGAAGTCAAAGACCAATGTGCGTGACGTCAACACCAATGCCGACCACCAGCATACGCCAGGTACATTGTCTCTCCTCCCCTCATCACCCCTTGGATCCTCACCTCATGGGCCTCCTGCCCGAAGACCACCTTTGCCATCACCTCCCGTCCCCACGCTCGGCCCGGCT